AACTCTGGAGCACGGACATTTTTTTCGTAGACCCGCAATCTCTGTCTTCCTCGATATGAAAGCGCGTTTCGACTCAGCCGACCGCTCTAATTACTGGCGCTGAGTCTCTTTGAGAGGTATGCCCGAAAAGTGTATTTTAATATTACGATATTTTCGTACTAACAGCCGAAACCGAGTTCGAGCTTACGGCACATTTTCGTCCAAGTTCGCCACGGAAAGTGTTGTTCGTTAGGGTTGCACTCTCTCGCCGTTTGTATTTAACTTCGTCAAAGATAAAATTCTCGAAAAAGCCCTATTCTCGTACGAAAACTGCATCAATTTTATCCCAAATGGCAGAAAGTCTGATCTGGAGTATACAGATGATATCATACCGCTAAGGGAAGATCCAGGTACGTTGCAGGCTTTTCTAGATGGCTTGAGCGCCAGTGCACCTATGCTCGGTATGCAGTGCTTAGCTTCAAAGCTTAAAATGTTGCTGCTAGACTGGGTTGATCCAGTCGCCAACCTCACTCTTACTGGGGACGTAGTAGAGGAAGTAGACAAGTTTTGCTATTTGGGCAGCGGACGGGTCACAGACGAAGTGTCGGCACGCATGCAGAAGGCTCGATGGGTATTTACCAACTTGAGACATCGGTGGCACCGTTGCGACATCTGACTCTGTGAAGGGTCGAGTGTATTCTACAGCAGTTCGACCAGTGCTGCTATATGGTGCAGAGACTTCCATTACGGGAACAAGATTAAAATAGATTGTCAGTGTTCGACAGTTGCTGTCTACGCCGGATTGCACGAGTCTGGTGGGGAAACCGGACAAGAGAATCTGAGGTTAGGCGCAAAGTTTCAAACAGTTGCCGTTGTCCACTTCAATTGCCCGAACCTGGCTAAATCAGCGACCTCTATAAAACCGTTTAAGAGGAGACTCGCACAGCTTATGGAATCCCAACCGCTTTATGGTTTTGTGAAGGAGTAGACGAGGTTTGGAGCCTATCAGTCANCGTCGGTTTTGGACTTGGTGTTAGCTAACGAGGAACTGATGGTGGAAACGATTTCCACTACAACTCCATTAGGGCGTAGTGATCATGCTATGTTGACGTTTGACTACATTTGTTATGCATCCGCATCGCATAATTCTACGGTTAGCTCGTAAATGTTTGTTGACTACACCAAACTTAAGATTTTAGAGAAAGAGATCTCCAATGGAAATTTCCCAAAGAACAATGCGATCCCCTGGTATCCTGGGAAAAATTTACAAGTCATCTGACGGAAATAGTGAGGGGCGTGACGAAGATCAAACGCATCACCTGCTCAACTGGTCAAAGATCAACGATTCGAAGTCGGAACAAAAAAGTTGATTTCGTAGAAGAATATCTCACGGAGAGCTTATAAACGACCTCCTTGCAACAACACATGGTATACCTACTGTCAACTTCGAAACCACTGAACCAAGTTGTCACGAAAAGATATGTTAATGCACCAAGAAATGCTGATGCGCAAGTTCATATGAAATCCCAAGCTGTAGTACAAACACATAAATGCCAACAGAAAAGTTAAGTCTGGTGTTCCAGCGCTAAGAGTGGCAGAACGTGTTTCAGTCACAACAAAGAAGGCAGTTGAAAAGATAGGTCAGTACGCTCAAGGGCTCACCGCACCTGCGAACACGGGACTATGACTGCTTCTGTTACTTGAGGATATATCATATTCAACGCTCACCGCAACTGATTTTTCCCCACAAATCATAGCATCGAAACTGCAGTGTTTGAAAAGGAATTCATCCCCGGTGATAGATAATATCCAGCCACAAACCCTCATCAATCTGGCAAGTAACTTAGCTCAACCACTAATCGAACTATTCCAACAAACGTTCAACAAAACTGTGCTCCCATAAACATGGAAACAAGGAATAACTTCTCTGATATACAAGGGTGGTTGTCGTAGTGACCCAGCTAACTACCGTCCCGTTACTGTCCTCCCCGTATTATCCAATGTCATGGAATCCACTGTTGCAGACAATGTGATCAGTCACTTGGAAAAGTACGTGTTATCCCCTGTTCACCATGAGTTTCGTCACACGCGATCGTGTACCACTAACCTGCTTCTGTCCCGAGAAGAGCGGATAAAAGCAGCTGATCATGGTGATGCAGTGGACGTCGTGTATTTCGACTTCCCCAAAGCATTTGACCGAGTGAACCACAAAATACCGCTGAGGAAACTATGGAATTCGTGGACTCGTACTGGGCTGGATAAAAGAATTTTTTTGACAACGCACCACGGCAGTTTGCGTTTCAGGGTCACTTTGTGATCCCGTCAGCGTGACACGAGAAGTTCCACAGGAATCCGTGTTTGGCCCTCAACTTTTTCTTGCTTTTATAGACTACCTAAGGGGCATTCTGGGGCCACGAACGTTAATGTTTGCAGACGATGCAAAAATACGGAAAACGGAAACAAAACTAGAGGACTCGCTAACACTTCAGTGAACACTTAATGCTGCCCATCAATGATCGATTGAAAACGACATGGAATTTAATGCATCTAAATGTACGATCGTATTCCTTCGCCAAGAAACTCGGTTTTCGTATTTCCTGGGTGATTAACAACTTCCGTATGTCCCGCATGAGAAAGATCTTGGTGTCATCATCCAAGACGACCTAGGTTGTTCTTTAAACTTCTCCTGGGCATCGTCCACCGCTGTAAGACATGTTGGTTTGCTAAAGCGAGTATTTGGCAAATCTGAACCCATGCTGTTTTCACGGTTGTATCAGCATACATTCGGCCCCACATGGAGTATGTAATTCAAGCGTGGAATCCATGGCTGTAACGCGATTGGAAGATTCTGGAACGTCCACAAAGAATGGCCAGAAAAATGGTCAAGGGACTGCATTCCAAGAGTTACGCGGAAGGACTGCAATCACCGCAACTGTACTCCACACAGTATCGCCGCATTCGAGGGGACTGGATCTTGGGGTATCAAATAATGCAGAACTCAGATCACCCATATCGTTCACTCTTTGTTTTATCGCCCAACACGTAGCTGAGGGGATACTCATTCAAATTAAGCTCCAAAATGCGACTAGAATACCGGCATCATTCACACAATGGATGAAGCTTTGACAAGTCTTAAATTTCACATCCGTATCAGTGCATGAAAGAAGGATAAATTGTGACATTCGTCTACTTTCTATGAATGGTGAACTGATTTGTCTGTGTTAAACCCTAGGGGACTAGAAAAAGAACGGCTTTTAGGTATTTCCCATAATAAAACTTAGAATTTGGTTTAAAACAAGTGTTCAACCTCCAAAGACCACGCTGATTGAGAAATGTGCTACGCACTTCACAAAATGTTGCCATGGCGCGTGATGTCTGCCTAGTAAGGTGTTGGCTGCAAGTGTCAAGCGCGGTCAAACTAAGACCTGGCATTAGGGTATGAATATCTCAACTAGCAGTGGGTCACAGAGGTCCTGTTAAGCTCTCCGGGTGGGGACCACGAAATCATGGTTACCGGTGGTTAGAGACACTGAATGATACGGCTTGGTGTTTTCAACAGATTTGAATATCGGTGTGGTTTGTAGCTCAGGTTGATGGTTTGTGGGGTCTTGTGTTCCCTGAGCTTGGCGTTTAGATCGCAAACGTTTCATCACCAGCCGAAGTAACAACGCACTGACGATGTCACCTCGGCTGGTGATGAAACGTTTGCGATCTAAACGCCAAGCTCAGCAAACACAAGACCCCACATGGCTTGGTGTCGCAAACAGTAGCGCACGTGCATCTATTCAATAATCTTCCAACCTGTCTATATGAATTATCTATGTCCTATTTACTCTCCCTACCCCCCCCCATTCTGTTCATTTATCTAAATCGGCGGCTTAAAGACAGTAACCAAAACCGGAGCATGAAAATGAATGGTTAGTAGTTTAAAAATACTGAAACCGACTGAAATTATTTTTTTCTGGAATGACGTCACCAGGGGCGAAAGTGAATGGTCAGAGAAAGCCTGGTTTTGAGACAGAGCTTTGCCTAGTCTCTACCCATCGACTTTTCATGCGTGATAGGATCTGCAGCAAGGAAAAGCTATCCTGCACAGCCCGTAGGTTTAAGTAGGTGTACAACAGCCGGAAGCATCTCCTAGTTGCAGATAGGTACTTAGGTAGCTATGAGCAGATAAGCACTGTCTCGCTTAATAAGCGAGCACGGATGACCAAATGATGTGCTGGGTTTCTGTCTAGCGAGTGGTTTCTCCTTTATAAACGTTCGAAGAAGACGCCGTGCTATCATCGACTCTGGTTGTGATATCACCCTGCTTCTCTATAGGTTGTATTTGTCTATGCAAAGAATAGACGTACAAACTCAAAATCCAAGTTGTGCAGGAGCTGTCATTTAACTCTACATCCCCCGATTTATTTATCTACTATCCATGAAGCTGAGATATTCTCACACAGGAGAAAATCGCCCATAGGAAGATGAAAGCGTACAGCTACCTCTGGGTTAAGTTACGGCCTGCAATCGACTGAAACGTTTACCGAGCATAGCATGATACACTGATTGGCCGATGCGGCCTGCCAACACACACGCCTATCATGCGAGTGCACTCTGTCATAAGGTCCATTCGCATCAGCGAATCAGACGTCAGTATTAATCTGTCACATTAATTGGTTCGTTGACTGGTCTGTGTGAAGATAGTTTTACTTCACGCAACGTTTGCGCCATCGGTTGACCTTCCTGCTTACGGGTTGCTACCCTGCTTGCTCACCGACCAGCAGACACGCTACGTGTGTGTACACTGCAAATGAACGAACCGCTTAATTCACGGCGTATTTACTTATACGCATACACAGGACACAACGGTATACTTTTATTGACTATACTAAGCGTAAAGATTTCGCTACATGTAGATGGGATAACGGATCTTCAAGTAGTAACGATAGAGGATCTTAGTCTTAATAGGGTTCAAAAAGGGAAGGGGAGATTTTACAGTTCAGTGTGAAAAACGACAAATCAAACTTTGATAATCAGCGTGATGAACCCAATTCGACCGGAATCAGCATGGTGCTATAACGGGTATCAGCGGATTTCGACATCAAGGTGAGCTGATGGCGTTTGAATATGCGATAAAGAGGGTGAGAGCATGTTTGAGAGAGTAACGTCTACCACCCATCCGCCGGTATCCATAGGTCATATCCTACAATCACACAATCACACTTTCCAACCTATGATTCCATAAACGTACCGTGATACGATTGAGGAATGGACCACAAAACAATTCAGTCCAAAGATCAACTGGCCTTTGCAATAGCAAATGTACATGATCTGTAGATGACTCATTCACCAATGCACCGGCTCGCAACCATAATTGTTCTGGATCTGCGTCTGAAGACTGTGACAGTATACGCTCGTCGCCCTTGGATCGATCAGTTTCTTGCCAGCTTCGCGTAAGCGACAGAACCAGGTGACGAACGTTTAGAACTGCGGTCAATTTGGGGGCGTGGGCGAGTGAGGCAACGAGCATCGCTCGGCAGTAGTCTAAAGACCTGAATAAAAAAGTGCGCAGGGGGGGTCGCAATGAGTAAATAGGGAACCATGAGTAAGGTGTGGCATTAAACAGCAAAACAAAAAAGTGAACCTGTGTGATGGGAATCTCTGTGATCACCGAAAAAAGCGCTGGACAGGTGTTTCGTTTTGTTTGGGACATGTCAGCAGTGTGCACCTTTGAGTCCTTGTCAAGACTTGATCCGAGTTTGGACTCAACACTCTTACCTCATGATCATCATCGTACTGCGAAATACAGTGAGGCGAACTTCACTAATTGCTGCCAAACTCGCAATGCATACAAGGTGAATGGTAAAATTTAAGGAGGACAGGTATAAAACCTACTTTGACAGAGGGAGAAAAAGGTGAACCTCCATGGTCAACACAGAGTACGCAATCGAAATATGCTTACATATTGTTTCAAAAATTCTGACCCGATAAGAAACAAAAACAAGAACGCCACTGCTGTCGCTTGGTCGCCATATACTTCAGTGTCTCGAACCAACCGGTGGAGTCTTTCGGACCCCAACCTGGAAGGCGCGAGACACCTAGTCTACATAATGGCTCTGTGCACTCCACGACGAGACTGCACCTTGACGTGGTGTGATGGCTTGCACGCCTCAGTGACCCAGCGAGCTACAGAGAATGTCTTCTCACAGCCGTAGATCCAATCATGCCTGAAAGGTCAACGGATAGAGGCCAGACGAAAAACCAGTCTCACAAGGCCAGCTGCTTGGGCACCTCTTGGCTTCCTTCCTCTATCCACACCCGCCCCTGGAGAGGCCACTCCAGCAATATAACACGGTGAGGGAGTAGATTACCGGTCAGAAACCCACGCTAGATGGACGTAGGAGCGGGGTACCTGGGGCTTCCTCTCCACGGTGGGAGAAGTCTTCGCACTTCAT